GGCCCCCGCATCCTCCCGGGCGGCCAGTGGCCGGGCGCCCAGAGCCCAGAGTCCGCGCTGAAGCCTTGGCGACGCCGAGTTCCCGCGGCCGCTGTCCCGCGCTCGGACCCCGCGCTCCCGGGGTGACCGGTCCCCGCACCTGCTGCCGGGTTTCCGGGGGAGGAAAGTCCCCGCGGTTTCAGACCCCGCTTCCTGCATTGTTCTTACGGGTCTGTGGCATTTCTCTCTGAAAGGGAAGCAGGTCATCGTCTGTAACCAGCACAGTTAAAGAGCATCCCAGCCTGAAAAGAAAAGAAAAAAGAAAAAGTCACTCGAGTTCCCCTTTATATTCTGTTGCAAGCAGTTGCGTTTTTGTTACTGCTCTCCACGCTAGCCTAAAAGGAAAACGCAAAGCAACCTGATTTCTAGAGATGAGCCTTTGAGACTGGATGTTTTACGGACACATTTCCAATACCAATGGACGGCTTAAGAAACCGGAAACGTATTTTTGTTGTGGCTGGACATGTTGAAAAAGAGACGGTGGTCTTTTCATTTATTGCCCATGACCCCAAAATGCAGTCTTTGGGAAACAGTCTGCAAGATGTAATAGGGGTTGGGAAGTCTCCCCCTCACCACCACCACCACCACCACCAGAAAAAGGCCGCAGTGTTCACTGGCTAGAGTCTGCGGAGGAGCAGAGTTGCTTGATTGATATTTGGTTTGCAGTTCTGCCATCGAAGGTCAGCTACAGTTGATGACTGGTGTTATTAAAAATAAGGATCTATAACTCCAGGGACACCAGTTCAGCTTTTCAAATGCTGACAGCACACAGCCCCTCTGGGCAGCAGGCTCTGTCTGCTGCCATCAGTAGAACCCACAGAGGGAAGCAAATGTAGAAAGTCATGTTGCAAGAAACTTTAATTTCATTGTTTGGGCTGGTGTGTGTGTGTGTGTGTGTGTGTGTGTGTTATACATACCAGTAAGTGGGTTGTAGAGAAAATTAATACATATAGACCAGAACAATTCAGGAGGCTATGCTGTGCCACAAACCAACCAGAAACAAATGAAAGAAAGAAAGAAAGAAAGAAAGAAAGAAAGAAAGAAAGAAAGAAAGAAAGAAAGAAAGGAAGGAAGGAAGGAAGGAAGGAAGGAAGGAAGGAAGGAAGATAGATTCAGGGCTAAGACACCTCCTGAACTATTTCTTGCATCTCTAAACCCTTTCCAGCTGATACCTCTTGACAATTTAATGGAGGTTGAACTTGGGTGCAGGCAACTTCTCTCTCATTTATTCTCCCCATCTGTAGTTAAAAACAACAACAAATGTATGTGTTGAATCTTACCTGCTCTATTTCTGCCTTCATATTTTAAGGACATATGTCTTTAACAGCAAGTACCCCAACATTGGATTGCTCAAACAAGGTGTCAGAAACATTCACCTGGGACTCAGTAATCCTGGTGGCCTCAGAATAGAGGTCTTGGCTAGTAAATCAGAAGAGGAAAAACATAAACAATATCCAGCCTGAAGTAGATCACACAGAATGAATGAGAGAGGGCAAAATCAAATCCGGAGTTCAGAATTCAGAGCTGCATTGGCCTCGGGTTCTAAACCCCCTGGTTTTACCATGGGCACCAATTCAGACCCATCCGCCAGATGCCTTGTCTTTCTGATTCATAAAATAAGAGGCTGGATAATGGGTCCTTTCCAGTTCTGAGCATCCAGATATAAGTAGTCCTATGGAAGCACTACTATGTTCTCTCAGAACTCAAGGGGGAGGGGATGAAAGTCAGGCAAAATATAGGCTTATCTACAGCAGAGGATCACCAAACTAGTGAGTAGTTTATCTGATAGGAACTTGTTAACTTGTGTCCTTGTGCGTATTGAAAAAGCGACAGCATTTCTGAGAGTTAAGAGCCATATTTTACAGTCCCAACCAATATAAAGAAAGATGTTGCAATGTGCCAATTTCAAATTTTTAAAACAAGGTTTGTCTATCATTCAAAATAGTAAGTTAAAGACTCAGACTCCTAGAGCTTCTACCGCAAAAATAGATTATTCTCAGGAAGAACAGCAATGACCAGTTTTGCTTTGTTTTCACAGATGTGCTCAGCCATCAGAAAAGCTTAATAACTCCCTATTTAGTATGCATTTATGCAGTGATTACATGAACTTTGACCTCTGGAGAGCTGTAGCAATTAGCTTCAGTGTCCAGCATTTTCTCCCACCATTCCCCACTGGCTTCCTTGGGTTTTCCTTTTTCATCTCAGTCATTCGTGTCCTGGGAGAGTGTAAGATTTTAAAGTTGACTTTCCACTGGAGGTATTTGCTTCGGCACAGTTCAATTCCCCCTCTTCGCCTTCCTCCTCCTGTCTAAACGACCATTGCAGATGGATATTGGGGCTCCGATTGTCGATATTACTCAAACACAAATGGATTTCAATTCAATCTCGCCCGATCCTTTCGAAAAGAAGATAAACTCTAATGGCCCAAAGAGCTTCATTTCATAGCTGTGGCATCTGAAATAAATCGGATCCCTTCTGTCAGGCTAATTTAACGTTTTTTAAATATTCAATGTAATTTATTTTAAGTCCAATGAAACCCAGTGGATTGGCAGAAAGCTAACAGGAGGAGGCAAGAGGAGGGCAGCTGGGAGCTCCGCTCCCTCCTCCCCCAAAAAAGAGCCAGGAAGGGAGATGAAAGTGCTTCAACTTTCTAGTAAACACTGTTTAGCAAAAGAATAATAGGAAAGTTGCCCCTTGCCCAAAGAGGGATGGAACTATAATTGTTGCCTTCAGCGGAGAGCTCAGATAAACCGCTGGGACTCATTCTAAAGTGACCCATCACTGCATTCATCTCTTCTTGAACTTTCGGTGAACCTGAGATTAAACAGGGGTGAGCAGCTAAGCAGTTTGTTGTTAGCAGCCTTTTCAACAACCCTTTCAGACTGAGTAAATATTGATCGGTTTGAATCTGATTGCCCCAGAGGAAAACACCACAGCATCTGAATAGCCTCCCAAAGTAAACTTTCAAAGGTGAAGCCGAGACTTCGGAGCCACTGCGGGATCTCAGCACAGCACACAGCCTAGTGTGGGGACTCCCGCAATTTGGGGATTATTTTAAATGCGATGTGAGCGGAGAGAGGAGAAAACATTTGAAAACTGGAATTTTATAGTGTCTTTATCCTGAGTCCCTAACTGAGACGCTTGTCCTTTTTTAAATGTATCAACAAAATGCTATTTTCTGTTTTTCCTCTTTTGTCGTTTCAGTTACCCTAACTGTCATTTTTCAAGATGCTAACGCTGCTCCTCAGAGACCAAAACAGAAAAAGAGAGACCTTGAAATAGGATGTGTTAAGCGCCTTTGATTTAATCGATTGGGACAACTACAAAGATACAAATGTTTTTCTTGTTGAAAGGTATATTAATGTTTCCTAAAAGTGTTGCTTATTAACTGATTTATTCCACGACCTAGAAAAAGGCTTGGGATGTTTAGCCATAATTTATCGTTTTCTCTCTCTCTCACTCTTTCTCTCTCCCGCTACATTAAAACCAGCACCTTAAAGATTGGAATCTCCAGGATTCCAGCCCGTGGGGCCCTGCTTTTAGATATTGAAATCTTGGCAGTGGCATGCAAATGACACTTTAACACATTAAAGTATTTGGAAACCAGCCATCTGTTTTGCTGTGTGGCCTTACACTAACAAACAAAAGATACTGTATGGGGAGGGGGGGATGAAAGAAAGAGTTGGCTCACTTTGAAGTTCTCACCCAACCACTTGAATCTTTTAGAAGCCACCCCAGAACCCCGGAGCCGAGGGAGGGCACAGGGTGCCCTTGATATGGCCGCAGCCACTGCGCCTGCAAAGCCACTGCGCCCTTTGCCCGGAGGAACAGGAAATCTCATAGGTGCTCCAGGAGGCCTGTGAATTTCAAGTTTTTGTGGGATTCCCTCCCCCAGACTCCCAGCCCATCCTTTGTAAAACAGCCTTTGGAGAGGAAGGAAGTCCTAGGTCTGTGTTTGTTTGTGACGCTGCAAACGTTCTGCTCCGCTCTGGGGCTAAGTGAAAGCCTCTAAAATGGTGTGAAAGTAAAGGAAAATGGGTAAGCAGTCTAGGAGAGCCACGCGGATCTCTCTGATGGTTGGCTTCCTCTGATGGAGACACACATGTCTTGGTTGGAAGCAACTTGAACAGTGAGAGATTTCCAGGCGGCTTGCTTCCACAGGTTTCCTGGAGGAACCTGTTGAGCTCAGAGATGTAAGTCACTCCTGTTTTCCAGGGTTTTGTGACATGGAATTACGAACTGAAGACCCATGACAGCCAAGATGGCTATGAAATCAAACCTTAATGTGATGGGGATGAGATGTGTGACTAAGAGGGGATGGTAGGACTGGAGGGTGGTAGGAAGGGGTAGAGAAACAGGAAGAATGGGAGGAGGGCTGTGAGGTCTACTGAAAACAGACCATACTCAGTTTAAAGGGTGGAATACATTGGAGCACTGACAATCCAGAAAGAAGGGAGAAGGGTGGGGTGGGGTGAGGTCCCCATCCTTGAATAGCTTGATACTGGAGCTAATTAAATGTGAATCTCTTAGTTCTTGGTTCACTGATGTGAGGAAAGACTGACTGAAGAGTTGCAGCTTTTGAAGGGGGTTCTGTTTATACATACGTCAACATTCAGCTGGAGGTGAAAAGGTTAGCACTTGACCCAGGAAGTACCCATGTTTGTTTCAAAAATAGATCTGCTTTATGAAATTCTTCACCATTTTTCCATTATGAACTTTGATTATAATAAGGGGACTACCGTTATTTTAAAGAAAAATCAACCTATGATAGCCATTGGTTAGATGCAATTACACTCTTAGAGGGAGCTTCAATTGCATAGTGGAAAGCATTTTTTTTTTCAAAGAAAAGTCCCATCTCTTTGAAAATGCACACCGCCCTTCTCTCCGTCCCCACACAAAATGACTCAACTTTGTAAGAACCAACGAACTGCAGCCAAGCCAAATACACGGATCCTCAAACATACCTGAAAGTTGAATATATTTATTACAGACATCTTAAGACCCGTAAACTCTGCTCTGGATCTCATCACTCCAGGATCTCAGAGCTGTTCATGATTGTACAGAAAATGGGGAACACCATAGGCTCACAAGGGATAACTGATAGAACTCAGTGTGGTACTTCGGGGACATCAACACATTGTGCGACATGCAAAAGACTATTCATGAATCACACAAAATATACATTCATTGTGCCATCCATCACATTAACGACTGAGCTGAAAATACATCATATCCAGCTAAGATAACTGAGGAAGGAAGAAGCTGGCTTGACTAATACCTCAAGGTTCCGAATAATCCAGCACAAGTTTACATAGCGTGTGGCCAGAGAAACAGGAAAGGGGCTGAGGATAGGGAGAGACTTCAGCCCAGGCAGCAAGGATTCTGAACCTTGTGCCCTGCAGGCCTTCTTCACTCACTGAAAGAACACATTGAGGCTACCCTCCGAGGCATCTGATTGAGTTTAAGTGAGGGCTTTTATTTTGTAACCTTTCACCGCATATAAAATTGTACCAGCTTGGAGAGTTTGCCCACCCTGTTTGAATCACTTAATCTAAACATTTCTAGAAAATCTGTATAAAGATAAATCTCTCGGGACAAAGTATTTACAACCAGCAAACTCACACACGAGGAGGAATTAAATTAAAAGTGAATTAATTCATTGTGTAAACACGCTCATTAGTGCATCTCTTCTTCATGAGCTCCTGGACTCTCTCCTTTCTCTTCACCCCACTCTGAGGACCAAGTAGGGGAGATCTGTAAATATACAGACAGATAAAAGGTGGGAGGCTTCCCTTTGACATGTTTCTGCGGGCAAAGGAGGCATTTTTCCAAAGGGCACCTAAAAGGAACAGTAGGTTCTTCGGAACTCTCCTAAAATGGGGGGCTCTCAGAAAACGGGTGCCGGCACCCCACCTGCGTTAAGAAGTTAACACACACACCCCTCCCTCCCCAATCAAACATCTAGTCCAGAACTCTCAGTAAACACATTATCCTGCCCAGGAGCGGCCCAGATAGGATCAGAAATAAAGAGAAAGACTGCGAATGGAAAGGAAGATAAGCTAAGAATGTGCTTTGAGTAAGAAGTCCGGGCCGAGGAGGAGGAAGGAGCCCAGGCCCGGAGTCGGGGCTGGGCCGGCCTCAGTGGGAGGTAGGCAGCGTGTCGGAGGTAGAAGAGCCCGGGGAGGGAACGCAGGGCGACGAGCTGGACTTCTCCGAGGACTCCTCAGCCTTCTCCTCGCTGCCCGGCGGGGTGGCGGGGGAGATGGGCAGGAGGCCCTCCTTCTCTCGCTTCTTCTGCTTCATGCGGCGGTTCTGGAACCAGATCTTCACCTGCGTCTCGTTGAGCTGCAGGGACGCGGCGATCTCCACGCGGCGGGCGCGGGTCAGGTACTTGTTGAAGTGAAACTCCTTCTCCAGCTCCGTGAGCTGCTTGGTGGTGAAGTTGGTACGCACCGCGTTGGCTTGGCCGGCGTAGCCGTACTCTCCAACTTTTCCTGGGGGGAAGCGACGAGAGAAAGGGGTGAATACTGAACAGTCCACAGGAGAGCCCCTGGAGGCTCAGAGCAATAGGCAGGTAAGGGGGAGACGGAGAACCCCTCCACACGCACCCCGGGCTGGGGAGGGTGAGTGATGAGGTGCAAAGTGTTCATCTGAAGTCAGCCATTAGTGTGGCCAGCCCGGTGATTAATGGAGCCCGGAGGTCTTACCGGAACAGCCCCACGCGCACACACACCCACCCACTTCCCACTTCCAGGATCCCTCCATCCCAGTCCCTCCGGAAACTGTCCCAGAGGCTCCTCTGCCCCCCACGCACACCTGGGCAACCCCCCAGTGCCCTGCGACCCCGCTGGGCAGCCAGGCTTCTTTATTAATTTTCAATTTATTCATTTCCCTTGGAAACCAGGCATACTAAGTCCTTCCAGAATCACCAGGGAGCATGACTGACCTGTTTTGGGAGGGTTCCTTTTGACTTTCATCCAGTCAAAGGTCTGCGCCGGCGAGGTGTCGGGCGCGGGGGAGCGGCAGGCGTCGCGGTGGCTGGCGTGGAGAGGGGACAGGGGGTTACTATAGGCGGCCAGGGCCAGGCTCTGGTGCTCTTGTCCGTATGAGTGGTGGTGCATGTACTGAGGCGATCCCACCGCGCCCCCGGCAAAACCCTGGTGGTGGTGGTGGTGGTGGTGTTGGACCATGGGAGATGAGAGGTTTCCAGAGTACACGGCGGGGGCGCACGAGGGGTACCCCCCACTTACTTCTGCGTCCTGGCTCAGCGTGTAAGGGCTGTAGGGCGCGCCCAAGTTCTGCGCCCCGTAGCCCGGACCGCAGCCCGCGTGCGGGTAGGACACCCCCAGGTTCCCGGGAGGCTGGTAGGCGGCCGGCTGCGGGGGGTGGTGGTGGTGGTGGTGGTGGGGCGAGCCGATCTGCACCCCCCTGCCCACCAGGAAGCGGTCGTCGCCGCCGCAGCCGCTGGCACTGACGGCGCAGGACGGCAGAGTTGTAATCCCGGGGTCCGCGGGGTAGGCGCGCGCCGCGCAGGCCCCCGGGTCGCCGCCGCCGCCGCCGAGGACGGGGAAGTCCAGGAAGGAGCTCATGCCCGCGCTGTCCATCCGTCACGGAGCGGCCGGGTCCGCGGAGCAGCCCTGGGTGACCGTGCCAACTTTCTCCCGCCCTCCATGGGGCCGGGGAAGAAAAATGATATGAATGTACAGTGCGCGGGGGGGGGGGGGGGGGGGGGGCGGGGGCCGGGGCCACGTGACCGCGGCAGCCAATGGCGGGCCGCCGGCGGGAGCGTGCGGGCCCCGCCGTGATGGATCGCGGCGTCGGTGGCATTTAAATCCCGGGCTGCGCCGGCCGGGGACGCGCGGCCGCCCCCCCAGGCGGCCCGGCCGCTGCAGGGCAGATGCCAGCGCCGGGCGAAGGGAGCAGCGGCTGTGTCTCCTGCTCCGCTCCCCCCGCCCCCGATCCGGGAGGCGGGGGCTGGGGAGCACCCCTCCCTCCCGGGCAGCCCCTCCCCGCCGGCACGGAGAGAGGAACCGGCGAGAGGTGAGAAGGGGAGAGGGCTCCCGGCGCTCCCGGGAGGGGATTCCGTGGGGGGGAGCTCGGAAGGGGGGAGTGGGGGGCGCCGAGCAGGGAGGGCCGGACCCCAGCCGGCATCGGGGCCCGGGCTCCCCGGGAGCGGGCCCGGCTCTGTCCCCCGGCGGTGCCCGGGCGGCTGGGGGCGCAACGCCCGGGCCTGGGACTCCGCGCTCCAGGGAGGATGCGGGTTCCCAGGGGCTGGCTGGGAGGGACCGGCGGGGGTGGGGGAGACGGGGCCAGGAGAGAAACTTCCCTTCTCCACCAGGGTCTCCGAGGCCCCCGACCCCCCTCCTCCTCCACCCGGAGCCTCGGGGCCGGAGGAGCGTCTGTAACCTGACGCCCCGCGGCCGGGAGCCCTGGGAGCGGAGGAGCCGAGGAAGGCCGGGCTGGCGGGCTCCCGCCTCCCTCCCTCTGCTCTCCGCCCCTTGCTCCTCCCCCGGGCTGTGCCGGGAGCCCGGGCCCCGGAGCGGCGGGATTTTGAGGGGCAGGAGGCGGGAGGGGGTGACGCTGCAGACGTGGCCGCGTGGGGGCCGGGCCGCGCTGCGGGCCATCTGCCCGCCCGGAGCCTGCGCTTTTGGGGAGGCTCAGGGGAGAGGCCACAGCCCCCACAAAGTACGCTGATCCACACCCCCCCCCCGTTTTCTTAGGGCGGAGTTTGTAGGGCTTCCTTTATTCACGCCTCCCCCCTCCCCGTCCCCCATTCCACAGCCTGTCCGCGGCGGGGACGGGCTGGCAGGTGGGAGGGGCGGACAGATGGCCGGTGGGGATGGGACATCTCCCCCAGCGCCGGCCCCGCTGCTCGGTAACGGCTGCGTGTTAGTCTCTGTGAAGCCCGGAGTCCTCCCCGGAGAGACAGTGCGGGCTGAGCGGCGTCCCGGCCAGGGGTCCCGTGCTCCGTCACCCTCAGCCTTCCCCGATGCTGACGGGCCGTTAATTGCTGTTTACTATTAGGTTTCGTGTCAACCCTTGGCTCCTAGAGAGAAAAGGCCAAGCAGAGGCCGGGAATTGATGCATTCTTGGGCACAAGAAACCCAGAGAGCATCCGGGAGGCTTTGCAGCCACGGGTGTATAGATTTATGCTCTGAACACATTTACCGAGTCCGAGTCCGACAGATAAAAAAAATTAACCGAGGACGGTATGTGGGTGTGGGGGGTCCCACCCCCTCCAGCCTCCCCTCCTCGCTTAGGAGAAGGAAGTTCTGCTTTAGGCAGGCACATTTCAAAGGTGTTCGCGAACCTTTCAGGTTTCTGCGTTCTGTTCTCCACATAGAGAGGTTTCCCCAGAACCTGCCCCGCCCCCAAGAGGGGAAACTCGCAGACATTTGGCTATGGACTCCCTTCAGTAGGAAAAAAAAAAATTCCCCTAAACATTTGAAAGGTATTTTATGTGACCTTTGACCCAGCCCCCACACTGTGGAGCGGGAGCTCAGGCAGGCCGAGTCACTCTGCCCCCATCAGCACCGGGAGAGTGATCCCGGAGAAGGGAGCAGCCCGGCGGCCCTCCCGGAGGAGGCTTCCTCGGCCGCGCCGGGGAGGGAAGGGGCTCCGGCGGGGAGGAGGCGGGACCTGGGGCGGAGGGGGGTTGTGCTGGCATTGCGCCGGCGATCTGCTCTCCCAGCCGGAGCTCGGAGCTCGTGGGTACGTTCTGCCCCTCGGCCTCCTCCCTGCCCCTTTGTGGGCCTCCCAGGCCCCGGGTTTACGCGACCCCCTGGGCCGCGCGGCCGGTGCCACAAAGCCGCCCGGGCATCCCGCGGCCTCCTCCCGCTGCTCTCTGCTCCCCTGCCCGCCCTCCCTGCCTGCGGGCTCTTCCGGGCCGGTAGGGGTGGTGATTTCTTGGGATCGCAGGCTCGCCCTGGCCCACGGGCCACCGGCTCCACGCAGGTCCGGCGTCCGGTGCCCCCGGCCGCGCACAAAGAGCCTCCCGGCCGCGGCCCGCGGGCTTCCGGAGCGCCGGCCCTCCCCGCCCCCCGATCCCGGGCTCACCCCGCCGGCCGGGACCCCAGTCCCCCGCAGGAGCCAGCGCCCCGGCCTCGAGCCCAAGTCCCTGTAAGCGCCGGGGAGAGCGTCCCTGGGTGGGTGACCAGGGCCCGGGCCTCCTGCGGGCTCCGCTCCGGGAGGGGCAGGGCGCGGAGCGGACACGCCGCCCGCCGCCCAGGCCTGACGGCTCCTGGCACCGCGGCTCGGCCCGCGTAGTTTTAAAAGAGCAATAAAAATGAATTATGACTAAACGCCTTCTAGCTTAATGCTTTCGGACGGGGATCCCCGGCAAATACGTAAGAGGATTTTTATTTGTGCATGTGTTCCTGCAATTGATCTCTCTGATGACATTCTCATTCATGGAAAGCGTTTGATTTATGGGCGCAGGACGGAGCGCAGGCGGCGGAGCTCAGCCCAGGCCGCTGCAGGCAGCCCCCGCCGCGGAGGCAGCAAACCCGCCGGCCCTCACCGGCCGCTGCCGGGATTTAGGAGGCAGAAAAGGGGGCGGGGGGGGGGCAGGTAGGGAGCAAACCCCTGGAGGAAGATCCCGGTTTCATCCTAACTTACCAGCCCGGGCTGGTGAGAGCCGGGCTCTGAAATCAGCCCGCCCCCACACATGTTGCTTAGGCGCTGCGTGTTCTCACGGTGCGTGGCCACCAGCACGGAGCTCAGCAAGAGAACAGCATACGTGGATGGGGAGACACGAGGTGGGGGTGTGGGTGGGGGGGCCAACAGAACAACCCAGGAACACACCCCAGTTCACATTTTATTGATATTTCATTTAAAGTGCGTGTACTCTTGCTGTTTCTGGGCCAGTTCATGTGTGACCCAGGGTGCAGAAAAAACACTTGGTTCTCCATCTCAACGTGCTCACCCCACTGCAAAGCTTTAATGCTCTATTATTTGTCATATAAACAGATTTAAGAATGAGATATTGATTTTTTTTTTCTTTTTCTGGCCCTGCAAAAAAATAAAAAGGGAGTCCTGGGATGGCTGAGCCAGAGGGTTTTGGAAAGAAGCCTTTCTGATGTGTATTGTCCAGCTAGTGACCGTCATTTTGTTTATGTTGTTGTTTTGTTTTTCTCCCCCCTTCTCTCTTTTAGGACTGTTTGCTGGACCCATCAGCAGCTGGGAGAGTAATCAACCACACTGGAAATGTCTGCCATTGGGGGGGAGGGGTGGAATGTAGATGTTTGAAACAAACGTGTATAAATAAATGAATTGTTGACCTGAAAGAAAGTCCATGTCCTGGAGCTGGGGGTTTCTGTAGGCACTTTATTTCTCCACTTTCAAAAGCTTGGGCTGGGCCCACCTCTGAGGCTTCCCAATCCTGTTTCTATGACCACGACCACGTTAATCTATGGCTTGAGCCTCTACAACAAAAAAACAAATCCATTCCCTAAAAAAAAAAAAAAAAGAAAGAAAGAAAAGAAAAAGAAAGAAAGAAAACACTTCTCAGATGCCCTAACCATTTTCTGGATTTCTTTTCTGATGCTGTCTATAGAAAATTTTGAACATGCCCCCTTAATAAATATATTAAAATTGAAAAAGAAGATCAATTGTGACCAGAATTTTATTTACCAAGTTAGACTAAAAGAAGAAAAAGAAACCATTAGGAGCTTTGAGAAAGAGGGGGAGGAAAAAAAAAATAAGAAAGCTGCTTATAGCAAAGGAAAATTTATTCTACCAAAAATACGCATGACAATGCATCCTAATGTAATACAAAAATAAAAAGAAAGTGATACAATTGTACGATCACTTTCTTGCAGGCCTCATATATTGCTTTCGGGAAATCACACAGAGGGTTGTTGGATTAGATTTTAAAACAAGTAAAACTCCAAAATAACCTGTAAAAGACACCTCTGAAACTGGGTCAGGGGGGACTCACTAAACAGAAAATCTTCACCATCGAGAGGAGGAAGAGGGTAGGTCAAGAAAAATAAAAATTAAAAAAAATCAACTCTCAGAATAAAAAGAAGGCCAAACCACCTGGTCAGAGGGTTTTTTGTGTTTTTGTTTTTGTGATGCTTTGTGTTGCTTTAATGTTTTTAGTAATTCAGATGCTGCAAGTCAATTGTGGTGAGTGTGTCTGTAAAAAAGTCAAAGCTGTCAGCCGAGATATCTACGGGGCTGTCGAGGGAGCCCGGCAAGCTGGGCGACACGGCGTCTGAAAGCTGCAGGCAGGAATCCGCGGAGAACACGCTGAAGTCCTGCAAAGAGGGCACCTCCAGGGCCTCGGGGCTGTCATTGTTCAGGCCCGGGCCGCAGTTCTGGCCCATTGTTGACAGGCAGTTGGGAACAGTGGGCGACGACTGGTGCTGGAAATGTTTCAGATGCTTCTCATTGCTGGCGAGCGGCGACCCCGGGAAGCTCTGCGAGTCGCCATTGTGTCCGTTGGGGGCCTGCTGCTGGGAGAGGGCGTTCTGCTGGAAGGCGTAGCCCTCCCGCTCCAGGAGGGCCCCCGAGACGCCCAGGGCCTGCTCGAACAGCGCCTTCTCCTCCTCGTCGTCCTCCTCCGCCTTGTCCGCGTCCTCCAGGCCCTTCAGCGGGCCCTCGCCGCCGCCGTGCTGGTTCTCCTTGCTCTGCGTCTGCCGCTTGTGCTTCATGCGCCGGTTCTGGAACCACACCTTGACCTGGCGCTCGGTGAGGTCCAGCAGGGCGGCGATCTCCACGCGGCGCGGCCGGCACAGGTACTTGTTGAAGTGGAACTCCTTCTCCAGCTCCAGCAGCTGCGTGTTGGTGTAGGCGGTCCGCAGCCGGCGCGCCCCGCCGCCCTCCGCCGCCTCCGGCGCCTCTGCGGGGAGGGGACCAACGACACACGCGGTTGGAGGCGGAGGGGCCCGCGCGGGGCTAGTCCGCGGGAGGACCATCAAGAAACAGCGGAGGACAGCAGCGGCCACAAGATGGCCGCCCCTGGCTGCGGCAGGGCCATTGTGCCGCCGCCTGGCCCGGGAGCCCGGCCCGGGGATGGGGGAGGACGCCCCATCTCTCCCACCTCCGCCCCGTCCCCGCCTGCAGCTCTCCCCCCCAACCTCCCCAACCTCTCCATCCGGGAGCAAACTTTATATTAGCCACACCGCAATTTATAATTAATGCATCAGCTGCTTAGCTGAGCGGGAGCGATCTATCACTCTTCATTACTGTCAAAAAGCCAAACTCTAGGACAACGAGACAAGAGGAGGTCAGTTCCAACTCAAATAAATCATCCCACGTTGCACAAGTTAGGGAAAGTTCCTCCTCCTCCCCCCGCCCTCCCCACGCTTCTCTAAAAAATATATGGGTGTCTCTGGTGGTGGGGCGCACGCAGGGCGCCTCTCCTCTCCATCACACCCGCTGCCGAGCCCGCAGAGGAAGGGAAGGCAGCCAAGCGTCTCTCCTCCTGCGCCCCGGCCCCGGCTCCCGCCCCCGCCCCCCAGGGCCGCCCCGGGCCGCCCGGCGGGAGCGGGGTGCGGGCGGCGGGGGGAGCCCGGGCTGCGGACTGACCTTTGTGGCCGAGGCAGGCAGGGCCGGCGGCGGCGGTGGCGGCGGCCGAGGCGGGCGGCGGCGCGGGCTTCTTGGCCGCCTTCTTCTCCTTCATCCAGGGGTACTCGGGCGGCTGCGGGGCGCCGGCGGGCCCGGGGCTGGCGCGGCTGCCCGCGGGGCTCGGCTTGGCGCGGCCGCCGGCGCCGTGGCGAGGGTGGCTGCCCGGGTTCAGGCTGGGGATGGTCTGCTCAAAAGGAGGAGGAATCAGTGTCGAGTGTGAAAGCGTCGAGGTCTTGATTGATGAACTTTGAAACGTATCAGCGACAGGGGGAAACGATGTCAGGCACTCAGCGAGCGACGGCTGGCTATTGATAAAACCAATCTCTCGCTCAAATTCGTAATTCATGGCCTTCTCCTTGGAGCCCCCTCGGAGAGAAAAAGTTCCCTCTTCTGGAGGGGCCTTGGGGGGGCGAGGCCCGGGAAAAAGGCGAGTGCGGAAGGGGGAGGCAAAAAAAAAATCTATCATAGACGATCGCTGCTGGGGTGTTTTTTTTCTAATTCACTGATTACAGCCGTATGGGGACCGCGCTACTATTAAACTATTGAATTCATGGAGACAAGGTTGAAATTGGACCGAATTGGCTGTCACATGATTGCTTCTGCCCAATGACAATTTGGGCTTTAATCAAAAGAAGCCACTGTCTGTTTGATTGATCCAAAAAAGTCGGGAAGGAACGCCTCATTGGGGGCAGCGAGGCTTTATTTACACTTTTTTCTGGGCAAAAAAAACACACACAGAGACGTGGGTGTGGGTGGGGATGCCCCGGAGTGCGTGGGGGCGAGGGGGCCCGCCTGCCTCCCGATCTGCAGCGACCCGGGGTGGGCCCGGCGTGCGCGTGAGTGTGCGAGCGAGCGAGTGTGAGCGAGTGAGCGAGTGTGCGCCGCGGCCCGCCGGCCTCCCCGCGCCGCATTGTTCGTGCGGCCGGGAAGACGCCTCGCACCTCACAAATCATGTAAGCGCCTCAGTCTGACGCCTGCAGTCATTAACAAAGTAATCCATTAATCTCCAAAGTTTTGACACCCGAGGGCCCCCATCCCAGCCACATAAGTTGTGCAAAGGCAGGAGGAAGGAGCAGAGGGAGAGGAGATGAGAGAGAGAGAGAGAGAGAGAGAGAGAGAGAGAGAGAGAGAGAGAGAGAGAGAGAGAGGGAGAGAGATTCAGAGACAGATATTCAGAGAGATTCATTTGGGGGTTCTCCCTCTTTTATTTCCCTTTTACTCCTCTGCCTTTTCCCAAACCGTTTCCTGGATCTCAAAACTGATCTCCTCTCTGCCCTGGTCTTTCTTCCTCTCTTCCCTTCTTTTCCTCTTCCCCCTTTCCCCCCTTTCCCCCTCCCTCTCTCTCTGTCCACTTCTCCTCTCCCCCCCACCCTCGCAGGCCCTCGCCCCCCCCCCCAAAGCGCAGCCCGGAGTCCCGCGCCCCCAGACCCAGTCGGGCCCATTGTTCCTGGCTCCTCCGCCGCCGCTCTGCCTGGCTCCGGAGGGAAGCGGAAGACCTTCCTGCGCCATCAACTTCTCAGGAGTGGCTGGAGAGATAGAGGCATGTGCCAAGCCAGACAGCAGCCCCAGGTCCATGTGTTCAAGTCCCTGTAGCCAGGGCGGCGGGCAGCCAGAAACGCGGCTCCTGGCATTCTGGGTTTCACACCCGCGGGGCTCGGTGCGGTGAGTATTTCCAGGAAGTCTGTGAAGTTAGCAGCAGGGAGGGAGAAGGCAATTGTGTCTTTTCTTTCTTCCTTTCTCTTCTTCCTTCCTTCCTTCCTTCCTTCTCCTTCCCTTCTGGTCGCTCTGACGGGGAGCTTGTGGGTGCAGAAGGTGTGAGTGGAATTGTCTCCTGCTCCTCGGCCACCAGGGATGTTTGCTCTCCGGTTCTGTTGCGGGGAAGCAGCACCGCAGGTGAGACAGGGCGACCCACGGAGGAATGACACAGGTCCTTTCTCTGTTCATTCTCTCTCTTTTCTCCCCCAATTCCGAGATGTGAGTCTGAGCGCATCCTAGACTGTGCTGGAGGGTTCAAAAGACAACACCTTTAGGTACCAAGCAATAACTTTTTAGAAATCCACCAAGCCAGAAAGAAGGGAGGGGGCTGAAGGGAGATTTGAGGGTATCTCTTTTCCCCCCAAACCCTGAGGAGGAGGATCCGCCTTGGCTTCCTTTGAAATGGACCAAGTGATCAGACTCCCCCAGGCCAGCAGGCACAGTGGCAGGAAAATAAATCATTCTGATGGCTGGGGAGAGGGGCTGGCGGGAGAGAAAACCCTGTGCAGAAAACAAGCAAGGCCGAGCGAGGCGCAGGGAGAGGATTCCACCTCTGAGGCCGGCATCAAAGGGGGTTTGGGCTGGAAATTGATATAAAGTGCCCTCCGTCGCCGGCTAGCCCAGAGCACGGCCTTACAGATAGAGATGCAATTTTGGAAAATGTGAGGTTTTTCAGTTTTCTTGCTTTTATTCCAAACAAAGCTCTGAAGGAAGTCTGGGTGCGATCAATCTTGCTCACCAAAAGCCTTGACAGCTTCTGGCCCTTAAGAACACATTTCAGCTTCGAGCTCTTTCCAAGATCAAATGTGGCCCAGCAAAGAGGAGAGCAGGAAACGCAAGTAAACAAGGAAAACTAGTCTTTTAAAAAGATATTTTTTTGGCAGCGGAAGGAGTTCTAAGGCTGCTTTTAGGAAAGTGCTTTTCGGGCTCTGGGGTGGCAGCTTTTGGCATTTGCTTTTTACCAGAAAATACTGAGGACTTCGGGGGAGGGGGAGCTCCGAGAGGGAGTGGAGCTGCTCCCACATCCCCAGGCTTTGTCAGGGGCTGCGTGGGTGAGAGGTTTCTGCTGCCTCAGCGGCCTTAATTCAAACACCATCTGGAGGAAAAGCCTTTTCTCTGGCCATTCAACACAGGAATCTTCTCCAAATCTATTACTTTACCTCAGGAGCTATTTTAATAAGGATTTCTTTTTAATATCTAGGAAGATCAGAGTGAGATCGATATTTTTTCTTTGAAAGCCACAATGGAAGTCTCTGGCAAGAGGTGGAAAATCATATTGGAGGCTCATTTAAAAATCTCTGCCCTGGGGACAGGGGAAGCCTCCACACCAGTCCTCCCTCAGCTAGAGAGGAGGTTTTAGAAATGGGTTCCAATGATGGTATGTCCGAACACTGCTCCTCTCTGAGGATCTCTCTTTCTCTCCCCCCCCCTCCTTCCCTCCCTCCCCCTCTCCTCTTCACACTGATCCTTGCTTTCCCAGGTAATTTTAATTTTATGCGCTTCTCTTAAATTATTACTTAAAAGAGGACTCCTGCAGCTGCTCATCCTGCTTAGTTTAGATATGAACCACCAGAAGGGCGGAAGCCCCAGTCCTCACAAAGACTGCTTTTCCGGCCTCCATGTTTCTGAGATTTGTCACATTTCAGCAGAGAGGTGGGCGTGAGGCCGAGTGCTAATCCACTTCTTCCATAAATTCTTTAGAAAGTGTATATATATAGATATATAGATATATAGATATATAGATATATTCAGGAAGCCCAGGATAGATGTAGGAAAGCACCTCTGGCTGTGAGAGAAACGCCCAGATCTTTGCAGCTGCCCAGGTTTGCATCTTCCGAACCCTTTTTTCTTAAAAACCATGAGAAGGTCTCCTCAAAGCGGCTCCTGCAGGCCTGCAGGTACCCAGCCATGGCTCCAGCGCCTGTCTCCGCAGACCATCTGAGGGAGCTTCTCAGGGGGAAGAGAGGCCAGAAGATGGATATTTTGGATTGCAAACAAAATGGCGACATTTCCCACCTCTGCCTCAGACACATAGAATCCAAGGAGAAGGGGGATTTCTTTCTCACGGCAGATGCTCCTGAGCCCCAGACGCAGGTGGTTCCTCGCTTCCAGCTCTGAGGTGGGATGCAGATGGGGATGATGTTCTGAGGTTTGCGCTTTCTGAATCTGGTTCCATCTCTGAGCAGTTCTTTAATCTGAAGACGAAAACGCTTCCCTGTCCTGCGCCTGTCTCTGCCTCTGCCAGCCGGCCAGCAGGCAGCCCCGGAATAGAAATGGGTTGTTTAGCTCCTGTAGCATCAAATGGAAGAAGTACTTAAAAATGCATTTTTATTAGAAAGATATTAATCTCCTTTCTCTCTCCCCCTCCCCCCCAGGCCATTAAAAAAAAAAGCGGGGAGGGAAGGAGGAGAGGAGAGGAAATAAATCCAGAGAATGCCAAATCCTAAATTCCGAGAGGAAGCCGGTGCTGGGCTCTGGTAGTCCAGGGCAGGGCCCAGCCCCTCTGGTGATGGAGACGTGGGCGAGCTCTCAGCCTCCTCCGAGCCGCCTCGCTCCCCGGGCAGATTTAGAAGTGCTTCTGTCCTCCCTCCTCCGGATAACGGGCCGTGAAGCATCCGTGGAGAGACCGGCCGCCCCCCAAAGCGGTGGGCATCCTCTGCGGTGGCGATGTCCCAGGTTAAGGCGGTAGCTGGTCCGCTTTGTCGGAGGATGGAGGGGTGGTCGTAGCCGGGAAGACAGCCCGCCTGGTCCAGGCGGCGCTGCCCACCTGTGCGCCCCCCGCTGCGCCGGGGCGGCCGCCTTTGTTCCTCCCGCACCGCTCTCCGCAGCCAGCCCGCCGGCGGCAGCTGGGAACCAGGCGCGCAGCGGGCTGGCCCATCGCGTCTCCGCAGCCGCCGCCGAGGATCGCCGCTCCCGGCCGGCCGGCCCGGCTGCAGGGAGGCCGGCTGCAGGGAGGCCCGGGCCTGCTCCGCCAGCCGCCTCCGCCTGGAACCCCGTCTTCGGCCAAAGAACCCCTTCCGAACGCGGATATTATTCAGAATAAAAACTTTATTTAATTTTTTTGTTCTGTTTCTCAGAGTGTGAGCAGCAAGGAATGTCGAACTCTCCAAACAAATCTAGCATTTGTCGCGTTTACAGATTGTTTGCTTCGGTTTCGCCGGATGTTACAAACTGAAATCGCTGTTTTTTCAAAAGCTGGATCCTCTCTGGTATTATTGCATCATTACCACTGTTTTTTATAAAGAAATTACATTTCCCTTTCAAATAAAAAATTTCCTATGTGCGCCAATGCACCACTGAACAAAAGGCCCACGAAACCTTCTGAGCAACCAGGGTACAGAATTTCTTTAATATAAATACGAACGGATGGGGATAAATAATATTTAAAACTTAGATTATTCAATGCTTGCAAAAAAAATATAAATAAATCTGACTGTTCACCAGCATACACACACGGAAAGACGTACACTTAGTCATCCTTACACAGGGAGCCCCTGTTTCAAAGCGCCTTTGATTTTTTTTTTCCGCTCTTTACAAGAAGTGCAATTAAAAAAAAAGACTAAAATTAAAAAAAAAAAAAGTAATCGCTTCCCCTCGGGAGCCATAATGTACGAACAAATTCACATTGAAGAACTCGGCTAGGAAATTTGTTCATATACCCTGTTTCTGATCAAAGAGAAGAGAAGGTGAAGGGTGCAGGCCAGCGGCAGAGCTGGGGCGGGAGGAGATAAATATCGCTACTGATACTGACAGCCATTCCAGCAACCAAGATTGCTACGTCACATAAACTATAAAAACGCATTACCAAAAAAAACAAAACGGGGGGGGGGTGTGGAAGGGGGCGGAGGAGAGAGAAAAGGGAGGTGCAGGGAGAACCTTAAGACAAAACAAAAAAAAAGCCAACGAAGAAGAAAGGGGTGGGGTGGGGGGGGGGGGACTCTCCTGGCGCGCAGCCCCGAGGCCACCATCACAGGTGGGTGAGCTTGGGGGCTTCCTGAATTCTTCCCTGAGAAGGATGGTGGGCGGTAAGGTCCGTGTAGGTGGGGTGCGGCTCCCCCGGCCCAGGCCCGTGGTGGTGGCCGCTGCCCAGCGGCCCGGCGCCCCCGTAGTCCATGGCAGCCGAGGCGGCGTGGGGGAGGTGAGTGAGGCCAAAGAGGGCCGGCCCAGAGTTGCTCATGGGCTCCACATAGCTGCCCCCCACGAAGACGGGGCTTCCCTGTAAGTGTGGGGTCCCATAGCTGCTGCTGCCCTGCAGGCCGTGCCCGTGCGGGTCATAGTCGGGTGTGCCCCCTGCGCCGGCCCCTGCGGCTGGGTAGCGCTTCTGGGGGGGCGGCGGGGGCGCGCAGCTGGGCAGGGGGGCGGGGTAGGAGGCAGGGGGCAGCCCGTAGGTGCCTTGGGGGGGCTTGGAGAAAGGCGGGGGCGACTGGGGCTCGTAGGGGACACTGTTGACCAGCGAATGCATGGAGTTCAGGTAGCCGCCAGCGCCCGGGGGCACGGGGCTGCGGCTGGGGGACTGGCCCCCCGATGACGTCAGCATGCCCTTGCCCTTCTGGTCCTTCTTGTACTTCATGCGCCGGTTCTGGAACCAGATCTTGATCTGGCGCTCGGTGAGGTTCAGCAGGTTGGCCATCTCCACGCGGCGCGGCCGGCACAGGTAGCGGTTGAAGTGGAACTCCTTCTCCAGCTCCACCAGCTGCGCGCTGGTGTAGGCCGTGCGGGCCCGCTTGGAGGACGCCTGCCCAGGCGGACTCTTGTCGCCTGCGCAGCTCTCCCCTGCCGGGACAGAAGAGGGGAAGAGGGGTGTCAGGGGCTGCTCCCCAACCAGGCCCCTCCTTGCTACAAACCCCAGAGTGCCCTCCGCTTGTCAGGCCCAGAGCGGGGGGAGGGGGAGGTGCGTGCTTCCTCCGTCCTGGTGGGAAACTGCTGGGAGGTGGCCCCTCGTTCAGTCAAGTTGCAAATCATAGGCTCCTCCAGTGGGCAGAAAAACAGAGCCCGCAGTTTGCCATCCTGGTCTGTATTTCCTTCCTGAGCTGTTCACTTCCTGGCTCCTGGTCCTGCAGGCCTGTGAGACTGCAAGCTCCCTGTGGGCAGGCCTCACCACCATCATTCCCTCCACACTGACTGGACTGTGGGCCACCTAACTTACGCTCAACAACCCTTTCCTTCACTCACTGTCTGTCTGGGAGATTGGACAGTTGCCTCAACTGGACGCCTAATTTCCCTAGTGGAGATGGGTGGAGCAGGAGCCCCAATCGGAAGCCTTCTCTGCTCAAAGGAAGAGAACTATCAACAGTCTCCCTTTCTGGTGGTGAGGCCCGGGCCCTGATGCTGGGTCCTATTAATGAGGTTTCTCTGTCATCGAGCAGCCTGCCCAGCTTTGTTTACTAATCCTGTGTCCTCCCTGGCCCCCAAGTCCTAGTGCAGGAAGACCCCAGATTCTCAGAACAGAGCCCTGCCAACTGGAGAAGGCAGGGGCAAAGGTAACCGGGATCCTGGGAAGCCCCAAGGCCTCGGGCCTATCATCCACTGGAGTCAGATTCCAGGAAGCCCATGTGGTTCCCATTAGGATGACAAGCCCGAATCCCCTCCCAGAGGAGGCCCTGGCCGCCTCCATTGTGCTAACGCTGAGCAGGCCTTCCCAGAGGCAAGGCAGCCGCTCCATCTGCTGGAGCAAACATTAAAAATAGACTGATTATAAGCAAAGTATTGATTCTGAATTGGTGGGTGATTAGACCTGCTTTTACTCTGACACGTCTCAGTGTGGGGTGGGTGTCAATATTGCACTACAGATGAAGAATTGTGTGAAAAAGGAAGTGGAGCCCGTGTTTGCTCTGCACAAAGGTCCTGACTCCAAGAGCAGAAGTGATTCCAAGCTCACTAGGCCCTCACTCTTGGAGAAGTCCAGAGACTTCCATTAGGCCTCTCTGGGGGGTCCTGTGCACACAGTCCTGACACCTCCCTAGTTGCAAAGACTCTGGAAACCTGTGTAGGATAGAGAGGGGGAGCAAGGGGTCCTTGGAGACGTTCCAGTGCTCCACACCGTGCTGGCTGTGCCTGGAGCTGGCTGGGGAAACCTGGAGCCAGGCCAGAGGACCCTCCTCCAGAAGGCACCCCTTTACCTGAGCTGGAGCCGCTGGTTTTCTGCTTTGTGTTCTGCCGGGACTCCTTCATCCAGGGGAAGATCTGTTTGGCCACGGTGGGCGAGTTGAGTAGGGGGCTCTTGGCCGCACTGGCAGGGGTGGGGTTGCTGCTGGCATTCTGAGGCGGGGAGACTGAAGACGGGGCTGGGGGCACTGCGGGAGCTGGCGCGGGGGGCTGCTGAGGTGGCTGAGGCTGCTGGGGGGCAGGGGGCGCAGCCTGGGGCGGTGGCGGGGCCAGGGGGGGCTCGCCCAGGCCTGGGGGCTGGCTGGGCGGCCCGCTCAGGGTGTGCAGACAGGCCTCGCTCAGCTCGTGCGCCTTAGGGTGGCCCCCGGCGCTGGCGGGTGATTGGAGCGAACAGGCGGGCCGGTGGTACTCGCCCTCGGCGCCCAGGGCCGCGGACGCCGAGTAGGGCTGCTGGCTGGCATTGTAAGCGAACCCGTTGGCGGCCTGGTAGGGGTAGCCACCGTAGATCGCGGAGCTGTCGTAGTAGGTCGCTTTTTGCATCGCGTTGCTTCCCGGTCCCGATCACACACTCTGACGGGGGCTGGACACCCGTGAGGCCGCACATTGGCACGCCCCCGCGGTCACGTGACGCTCCGCCGCCAATGGCCGCCCCGCGCAGACCTGGGGGGGGGGGGGGCGAGAAGCGCGCGGTGAGGCTCCGCGCAGATCCATCTTACTCTCAATAGCTAAGTGACATGAAAGCCATAAAAGAAAAAGTGGTCAGCAATATTTAGCTGCACGACTTGGCCCCGGGCGCAGAGAGCCGCGCTATAAAAAGCCGCTGGAATTTACTGGCGACTACAAATATTTGCTTAACTTGCGTCTGGAGTTGGGGGGTTTTCCGGGGAGAGAGGAGGAGCGGGAGTGAGGGCTGCGAGCTGGAGTCCAAGAGAAGAAAGGCCTGGTGGGCTGGAGAGGAACGGAGCTGGGATCCTTCTTTCCCAAGAAATTCAGGGTGTCCCTTCCTCTCTGCTCCGGCCCCTCCTCCAGCGAGCCCCAGGCCCCCCTCCCTCTGGAAATTTTGGAGAAGGGGCAAGGAGGCAAAGGGGAGTCGCCAATTTTTTCCCCCTCCAATTCTCACTTTGCCACTTGCATTTGCCAAAGAGCCCCGACAGGGAGTGATATCCCATCCACCCCCATTTCTGATGTTCCAGAACCAAAAGGAAGGTATGCACAGAAAATGTTCAGGTAATTGCCCTACTCGACCCTACTGAATTCCAGGGATGTGGGCCGCCTCCAAATGAGCCCCTTGTGGCTGAGAAGGGGAGAGAGGAAACTTTAGATGGGACATCCTGGGTGCGGAGGGACCACCACCAACACCCATTCCAGCAAACCCAACTCAGATCTTGGACAGCTTTCTACTCCTTACTCCTCTCCTTTTCCTAGTTCTCAGGCATGTCTCAGCAAGCCACTCCCACCTCTTCTCCGCTGCAGAAAAAGGTCCCAGACCCTCCTGCCTGGGGTTTTCTGAGGTGCTATTATTCAGGCAACTATCAAATTCTACCTGTTAAAACATGATGGATTAGAGAAAAAAACCCACCAGGAACCTGAAAAACCAGCGTTCATCTCCATGACCACGGCTTGAACTCTCCTTCCAACTTAACGATAATAGGCTCTGTCTTAGGAACTGCTATGCAATTTGATGTATGGGGGTCATTTGGCTCTGGACGAGATGGAAGCACAAGCCATAAAACCCTGCCAGAGTTCCCTGATCTTTGTGTGCTGTGGTTGTTGATGTTGTTACTTGGCCTATTTACCTGCTTCAGGAACACCAAGCAAAGGGCAACCCTGGAAAGCTAAAAAGCAATGGAAAGCCTCCTCAAGCTTTTTTTTGTTTTGTTTTGTTTTGTGTTTTACAAAGCAGTTTGCAGAAGTGAAATCTTCCCCCGCCCCCAACCGTTGCATGGTCAACCTCGGGTTCTGCTCAGAAAAGTTCCATGTGAGTTCATATATTCACAGTCACACTCTGACACACTCAGAATGTTAGTGTCCAACCATTTAAGAAAATTACAGCGACAAATTCATGAAGAAAATGGTTTGCACTTCACAGCCCCAACTTTGTGTATCTGAGTCCTGAAGTTATTCAAGTTTTCCAGGAATAGCAGACACTTTGTTAACCAGAAAGAAATAATGTAATAAGCATCTACCAGTGGATGATTACACTGTAATTTTGTCTTTAATAACGAACTCCTTTGAATTCCATTATTAACCCAACAATCGCACCAACATCTGGAAAACAAGCACAATTAATTTTCCAGAACCTCAATTAAAAATTACAGCATCCCTTATCCAGAGTGATTGTGCGTGATCTTGAGCCCTGGAGTATTGTTTCTCTTTTGGAGATGGAAGGCTACAGATACCATAATCAAAAGTAAATAAATGATAAAATAAAATTTAAAACCGAATGGCCTTTAATGTCTGTTTCCTGTTCCTCCACCGAAAACAGTTCCTATTACATTTGGCAGTGTTAATGTCTGCCATCATAAATTTTTAAGATACTAGGCTTGTGTAAAATAAAACGTCAGGTTAAGAAAATTACTCCAGACACTTGAACAGCAAGATATTAGATAAAACAAAATTAAGTTGATGTTGAATGTGCACTATTTCAAGTGAATTGCTAACCCATTATCATAAGCTCCACCGGCCTGCTGTTTACCTAAGTCTTTTTGTCAAGTTGTAAAATAACAAAAATACCTTTTAAAAATCCAAGAGCAATCAACAGCCCACATAAACTTAAAACATGGGTTCGCCTCCCAGACCCCACCAGGGCGCTTCCTATTGTTTACGGTCAGCAGATACCCAGCCGGGGCCCACACCGCCCGCCACCCCCAGCCCGGCCCCCGAAGTTTAGAACCCAGTGAAGAAGTTGGCGGGCTGCCAGCCAGGAAACTTTGCCTTGCACCCCCAGACGCGGGCTGGGGCGGGGGAGGTTCCCCCGGGGAGATCTGTTTGTCACCCCCAGGTGCGAGCGCCGAGCGCTAAGTTGAGTGCGGGCAGCCAGCCCCATTGTCTCCCTGGAAGATCTGCCCAAATTGCAACCTCTCGCCTTCAGACCCCGCTCCCTCTGTCCCCTCCCGCCCCTTCCTCGGCCGGCCTCACCCCGAGTTTCGCTGGGATCGCGGGCCCAGCGCCCCGGCTCCCCGGACCCCCACGCCTCCCTCCGCAGCCCGGGGAGCGGCGGCCGGGCAGGGGCGCGGCGGTGGGGGCGGGGACGGAGCGCGGCCTGAACTCGAAGTGTAAGGGTATCAGTCACTGCCGGGAAGGAAGCTCCGGCTTGTGAACTCTTCTTGAACCGAGATTTAAGTCTGCGGCCATAAATCACCGAGACGTAAGCCCGCCATTCAGCGCCGGGCGCGCGGCGGCCCCGCTTACCTTAACTTCTGCCGAGCGCCGCGGGCGCAGGCTGGGCGCGGGCTCCGGCCCCGGCCCCGGCCCCGGCCCGCCGGTCCCCTCGGCGCGGGACGGGCTCGGACCCTCGGCATCAGCCGGCACGGCGGGCGGGAGGGCACCCCGAGGCCCGGGCGCCCAGGCGCGGAGCGCGGCCGCCTGGCTGCTCCGGCACCGCTCGCCCAGGGCGGACTGGGGCGGCTCGGACCCCCCCTCCCACCCACCCCACCCACCCTCCCCTCCCCCAACCCCCGCCCCTGCCCTTCCCGAGGGCGGCTGCCGTGGCCCGGAGATAAGCGCCCGCCGCGGGGCTCCGCCTGGGCAGTGGCACCGGCTCGGGTACGTTTCTTATGAATATTGCACCGGAGCAGGCTGGTTGGGGGTGCGGGGCGGGGGGGGGGGGGTTGGGGGCGGGCGGGAGGGGAGGCCGAGGCGGCTGGGCCGCCGTGGGGGATGGGGCTGGGCGAGGGGAGGGCCAGGAGCGAGGTGGGGAGCGCGGGGCGGCGGGAGGAGGGCGGCCTCCCCCCAAACCCCACGCCCTCCCCTCCCCGCTCCCGGGCGTCACCCAAGTCCAGGGAAATTATGCTAATGAGGACACCGGGCTCTCACAAAGGGGGTCTCCGGCCGGGCTCTGTTCTTAGGAAGCCGTTTGAGAAACCGGGTCACCCGCTGCCCCAGACGCGCCCAGTGGGGGTCGAGGAGAACAGGACCCAGAGAGAGGGCCCCAGACTTGGGGCCGGAGCCCTCACCTGCCACCCCTAATCCAAGACCCACAAAGCCAGTCTTTGGGGGGCCCGAAGAGGGCCTCCTTTCTCGGGAGACCTCCCCCAGAGCCTACAGGGCTGCCTGTGGTTGTGTTTCTAGGCAGAAACACGGAAATCCTGGCAGCCGGAGAGGAGCTGGGAGACTGGGGAGTGGATGAGAAACCCCAGGCTCAGGTACACACAAGGTTCCAGAAACCTGGGCCTCCAGCTCTTTTGTGCGGGGTCACAGGACGAACATGCAGGTCACTCACCGTAGGACTGATAAAGCTCTGACCCCAACAGCCACCACCATCCCCCCCCACCCCCCACCCCCCGTTAGTGGTACACGGGGAAGCTGAGCAGAGGACAGGCCTGGATGTGCCCCAATATTCCCACAACTTTGAGGAGGACAGTCTTCCTCCCTCCTGTCGCCTCGCTCAGCTCCCCGGATTCAGGAGCGAACCCTGCCAGGGGGTGTGCGCGACCAACAGGGACAAGTGGCGCTTCGGTGCGATGCTGAGGTGTCAGCGGCCGGCGTGCCTCAAAGGGAGGTGTTAAAAATATAAGTAGTGTGTTTAAACTGTCAGGGAGCCGGGGTGTCACCTTAGAGCAGAAACAAAGCCAGGGGAGAAGGGAGAAATCAAAAAGCACCGCGGCCGGGCGGCCTCATGCATACCAATGGTTTTTGTCATTTATGGCGGGGCAAGATTTATGGCCGGGCGCCCCAAAGCTGTAAACAGAGCGCACAGCAGCAAACACCGCTCCTTATGGCACACCGCGGCCTCCGCCTGAAAGGGGAGCGGGCGGCGTAGGAGGGAGCGCGGCCACAAAAATCCGCTCGGCGGCATTTTCTCTTCACACGGTCCCGTCCATGGCGGTGGAAGAAAGAAGGCAGAAGGCGTGGGTCAATAATCAACCCGCACTTTCTCCTCCGAACTGCTGATGCGACCGACTCTCACGCTTCTCGGCGGAGCCAGCTGCCTGCGCAGGACGGCCAGCTCTGTGGGACCTGCCAGGGAGGCCGGCCAGGGGACGGCACCGAGGTGAGGGCTGGAGCGCCCGCCCGCCCGCCCGCCCGGGGCGCACACCTCCCCGCCAGCGCCGGCCCGGTGCCGGGCAGAATGCGGGCAACGGACCCGCCAGGCTGGGGAGCCGGGAGAGCTGGGGCGGAATGGGGCCGGGGCCACCGCCAGCCTGGATAGGTGGCTTCTGGGTGCAGGCAGAAGCGGGGTTCAGACCTCAAGGCTGCAGTCTGGCGCCCTGGGTGCAGGCCTCTCTGCTAAAACCCGCAGTGCTGGTTTTTGAAACGAGGCAGGCGGGTGATTAAAAGATAATAATTTATCATAGCTAAAGGTCATTTTTGTTGTGTGTTTTTTTTTTTTCAGACAAAAATCCCTCCTGTCGGTTTTCAATCCCCATAAACTACCCTTGGCTGCTGCTGCGTTCTTCCCAGGCAACTCCGGCAGCCAGCACCCGGCTGCACCAAAAGCGCTGAGTTTTCTTTGCTAAGAAGACCCCGTGGCTCCCAGATCACCCCCCCCCCCAAGTCCTCGTGCTCCCCACCTCTGGCCTGCAGGGACCAGAAGAACGCCTCTTCTCGGCGCTAGAAGAACATTTGGGACAGAGGGGCACGCTGCTGCCTTCTGGGGTCTTCTTGGGAAGTGTCCGAGAGGCCGCGGTGGCGGGAGCGCTGGCCGGGCAGCCAGGAACCAAGGTGAGGCAAGAAGAGGCTAAAACCCCCAGATGGGTAGGAAAGTTCCGGAGGAAATGCACTTGCCGGTGGCGGGGAGGCTGGCGTTGGGAGGGAGAAGAGGGGCTGAGCTTTCTTACGGCCACAGTTTGGCTGCAGCCCTGTCCTGGGCGGAAAAGCCAGCCCGGCTCTGTCTGTGGCCGCTGGCTCCCTCACTGCACACTCGTGTACAGAACCGGCTGGAGAGTCCCTCAGACACTCACTCTGCACCAAAGCAACAATAAAAAGATGCCTGTAACAAACCTCCATTCCCTCTCTTGTTCTTTCTAGTGAAACTATATTATTTATGAGTCTTTAACTGGGTCAAAAATGCGCCAGAACTGGGTCATAAATCAAATGAAATGCTGACAAGTAATTGAACAGCAATTAAAGCTTACATTTTATTTCTAAGGGGTGTTTTAGAGCACTTGAAACGGCCTCCGTTAAACATGTTACTGCCGGGGCTGGCAGAGGGGGAGGGAGGAGCGGCCCTTCCATTCCAGGGAAGTGCGTCCCACTCAGGCAGGGCAAGCTTCATTTGATTTTTTTTTTTTTAAGTAGAAAAGGAAAAATAAGATTTTTTAAAAAGTCACGGGGCAAATCTGCTTCCGGACTGTTGGTAGGCACCCTTACTCCTGCTCGGAGAGCTCTGGGAGCGGAGGAGGGCAAAGTTTCCCTCACCTCTTCCCGGAGTTCCCGTCTCTCCCAGGACCACTGGTCCCCAAAGCCCAATTAGCTGGGGCTTTCCCATCATTGGGAAGCACACAGTTTCCCTCTCAGCTGCTCCGTTCTGGCCACAGCACTGTTTCTGGGGTTCTGCCTCCTGTGGGCTCTGCCTCCAGACCCCCCTGCAGCCCAGAGAGCGCCGGCCAGTCCTCCCGCCCTCCAAGCCCCTCCAAGCCGGCTGCGTGGCCCGGCCACACTCATCACCAAGCCCAAACCCGGCTCAGGCTCCCTCTCCCCTCTGTCACCCCGACATTACAATAACAGCGCTCTTGGGGATCCAGCACGCTGGCCACCCCAAGCCTCTCCTACATCTGAGCTGTCCTCCTCCACCCCTGCCGGGCAGAGGGTGTGCGGAAACAAAGGCGTGTTCTGAGATCCAGCTCCTTCCACCCGCGCGCGCGTGTGAGAAATCGCATTCTGCAGCCAGCGCTGAACAAAGTGGCCTGAAGCATCATCAATAAAATGGCAGCGCATCTGCACACGCATTGATTTCCTTCTCCCAGCTGCTCCTGCCGCCCTGGCCAGCCCCAGCCCGCCGTCCCTCCCCGGCACACAGCAGCCGGGGGGAGCCGCGGTCCCCTTTCTCCCTCTCTCAGCGCCCACCCTCTCTCAGCCGCCGGCCACCCTGACCTGCGTGGGCGCTCCGGACCTCCCTCCGCCGGGCTCCGCTCCGTCTCAGCCCCGCTGGAGCGGACAAAGCCACGCTAGCCACCGAGGCGAGAGGGCCCACCAATTAGCACCCAAGCGCCCCTTCCTTCACACCCCCCAACACTTTCCAGGGAATTAAACTCGGTCTGGGGCGCTGCTGGGGATCTTTCCAACGGTTTCGGTTCCAAAGGAGAAACAAAGGAAGAGATGGGCTGAGGGTCCTGTCCCTGAACCAGGGTCTCCTCGCCTGACCTTTGTCTCTCGCAGCCATAACTCACTCTAGATATGAACAATCAACGGAAATACCTTAAAATAAATTCCATCCTCCTGGCGTGGCCTCGAGTCCCATCGGCTAGCTGGCCCAGAGCCGCTCCATGAGTGCTGGAAGCTGCAGCCCGCTAGGAGAGCACGCTCCGGAGAAGGGGAAGGGGAAGGAGGAGGTGGGTGCGTGGGGGGGGGGGCTCTCAGTAGAGAATCTAGAAAACGTAATCACAGGCAAAGCCGCCCGGGTCTCAGCTCCAAATGCCACAATAATGTGCTGTATTATGTGCTCACGTGGTCATACGTCAACTTAAATCCTTTTATTTGAAATAGGGAATCACTGAAGGAACTAGGTTCCCAAGCAGAACATTTAGCTTGGAGGGAGGGGGGAGAGGGGGACCGTGACCAGCAGGAGGGAAGAGTTTTATCTAGGGCAGTTGTATGCTGGGGGCATCTGCCCCCCCCCACATGCGCCACACAAGGCCAGTTATCTCTCTTATATTTCTTTGCACTTGATCCAAACATAAGAAAAAGCAATGCTGTCCCCATTCTTAGAGACCACATAACTTTCTTTACAGGTTTCCACTCACAGACCTGCTGAGCCCAGCTCACCCAAGCACTCCCGCCTCTCTGGCTAGTTCATTAAAAGTCACGGCCCAGGCCTTGTTTCCGGAAGAAAACCCAGTAATGGTTGGCTTGCCTCTCTCCTGGCCTGCCATTGTACGGGATGTGCTAACACCCACGCCACACACCACCACCGCTGTAGACATGCAAACGGCCCCTCATTACCTGACAAAAGGCTAAAGTCCGGTTGCTTTTGTTCTGTGGGATGGGAGCCCTGTAGGAAGTAGGTACTTGGCTCCAGAGTGGTGGGTGGGTCAGAGTTTTGTAGAAGCTGAAGGACCCAGTGCCTGGGCCAAACCTGAACTTACACTTTTCCTCAGTGCATAGCAGAATGATACCTGAAATCATGGGCTTCTAATGATGAAAAATATAAGGGGAAAGGATCTAATTGTCTGTGCAAGAAGAGAAAAAGAAATCCTAGCATCCTTTAAATTAACTAACCTACTGCAAGGTGATCTGGGGCCTTCTCTGTTCACCCTCCCCTAAGACAGCTCTATGTCCACCAGCAGAAAGTGACCTGGACCAACTCTTCCCAGGAGGAGCCTGGCTGAAATAAATAAGACCACACACACACACACACACACACACACCACACAGATACACACACACAGATACACACACACACAGATACACACACACAGATACACACACACACAGATACACACACACAGATACACACACACACAGATACACACACAGATACACACACACACACAGATACACACACACACACAGATACACACACACACACACACACACCCTGCTTTCTGCTTGGTGACAGTCTCCACTGGTTTCAACATTTCACTCTCTCAGGGGCTATCTAAACACTTCCTCTTTTTGGATCTTAGTTTCTGAACTTTGGGAATGCTCTGAGGTGGAGAGACCCTCATGCCATCCATATTCTTTTGTTCCTGGAGAACGGGTCTTGTGTTAGCTAGGCCACTCTGAGCATGAGGACGAACTTGTAGCAGCTGCAGGAGGCTGTGCATGGTTCTTCCCGCCCCTCCCCTCCGGGCCTGCAGGGGAACGGAGGGGCCTAGTGAGACTGGAAGGCCCTCAGGAAAGGGGCTGCTCATGAGGGTATCCAGCTCAGAATGGCAGCCCCCTTCCTGAGGGAGGCCTCACACCCCTTGGAAGGGAGCCCTGCCCCAAGCTGGTGGCCGTACTCCAATGAGGTTCTGTCTGGGGGACAGCTAGGAGAGAACCTCTATGTCAACCTTCCCGGCTCTGACCTGAGCCACAAGCTGGAAAGTGAGCATCTAACGTGAAAACCCGCTCTCTCAGGTGTGGGGGTGGTGAACAGGACCAAAAGCTGGTTTCCACAAAGCACTCCCCAGTCACCCCAGGGACTCAGGCCAGAAACTCACTGTCCTCTGCTCCTCTTACCCGCCCCCCCCCCCCAAATATTTCACACTGAGCTCTCCAGATAGCCTAGAGAGGACCTGGAAGTACAGCCCAGCTGCTGGTAAACTCCACTCCCCCACCAGAGATTCTGTAGGGGTCTCCACTCAGTGGTGGGAAGGGGCCCTTCAGAACTCGCAGAACCCTCTGGAGCAGACTGAAATTCCCAAGGCCATAAATCAATGGGGACGCCTTTGGTGGCGCTTCAGAGGAATGCCTTAACACCAGCAAGGCCTAGAGGCATCCCAGCGCCAGCCAGGATCCTCATGCCCCTATTAACAGCCCAGTTAATGCTCCAACTGCTGTTTAACAATTAACATCACTGACTTGGGGTAGGAAAGGGTGATTTTGTGGGTCATAAAGGAACATAACTGAGGAAGACTATAGAAATTTAACTTTTGAGGGGAAAACAGCTTCCCTAAGAGAGAGCTTGGGCTGGGCAAGCCACCAGAGAAGCCCCAGCTGCAGCTGCAAGTCCTCCTCCACCACTCTGAAGTCTTTCCTGGGGCCAGGCTGTGGGCCAGGTACACGCCCAGCCCAGAGACCAAGAATGGGGATGCTCAGCTCTCTGGGCACTGGCGGGCACACCCAGCTGCCAGTACCGCTCCACTCACTCGCTCAGCCCCCCACCTGGCGGATCCAGGCCACCAGAGCCAAAGCAGGCAGAGAGCTGTCTAGGAAGGAGCAGGTGACTCAGGATGCAGAGCTTTAGTCAATATTTGCAAGGCTGTTGGCAGATTAGATGTATCTGTATTCAAACACTGCAATCTGATTTCTCTGTCAAAAACACACTTAACATGCTTCTCCCCTTAGTTAACTCTAGTGGTTTTTGCTCCTCGGCGGCAGGTTAGGCCCTCTCAGCCCACTCCTCCTGGGTGGAGGTTATAGATCATTACTTAACATGAGATATTTCCTGTGGCTGCGACGGCGCTGCAAATGGGCTCCAAGTCCTCTGGACTCACACGACTGTGTATATCACTGTATACACACGGCCCCAAACTCCTGCAACTGTTTACACACGCAATGATAGTGTTGTGTGCGGAGATGCAAATCAAATGTCCACACGGAGTTGCAAATTCCTGAAATGCTCTGTCTATACTTGATATAAATAGACACACAGTAGCTGAGAAAGTAACCCCACTTTACTATCGCTCTGTTTACTTCCTAGCTAATAAAGTAAGAATTGTATCTAAAACACCTTATCCGCCTTAGAGCACACACCAACAGCATGTTGCCATGAATTAGCAACCTAGTATCTATTTGGGGAGAGCATTTTAGGGAAGACTGGGGCCCAGGGGATAGGAAACAAAGTCTCAGAAAACTTTTTACAACAAGGAATTCCTCCAAGAACAAAGCAAGCCCATTCCTTCACACCAAGCATGGGGAAGCCGTTCCAGCGGCCCCTCCCCCAAATAGGCACGAAATTTATGGATCTTTTACAAGGTAATAAACCACAGTAATTACCTCCCTGCATCCCAAACTAAGAGAACAAATTAAGCCAGAACTGGGAAAGAATTTTAAAGAGTTTTCCCTTGTTCCAAGCAGGAAAATAAAACGCGGAGACACTGAAAACCTGTGCTTTTCCTGCAGGGAGAACAGCGAGTCAGCCTGGCTCAAGGCACCCAGAAGTCCCGCTGCCTGCGACAGGCTGCACTTTGGAAACACAGTCACTTCCCTTCGCCGAGGAAAAGCAAAGGGACAGGAGAAACAGCCCCCTCCACGCAGAGTAGCTGGACTGACCACAGCTTCCAAGCGAGCTCACAGCCTCCGCCAGCCGCGGACAAGCAGGACGGCCCACGCGGCGGCCTCTGCTGGCTTCTGCCCCGCTGTTGCACGGAGCGATTTGTTTGGAACTCGCTGGAAGAAACAAATACATCCTTCTGACACCCCCGCCCCCCCAGCGCATACATCTTTGGTCTCTGCGACCCACCGCTTCCTGCAGGACGCCGCCGGCTTCTGCGGGCTCTTTGTCTGCCCGGGTCAGCCTTGCATTCGCGGAACTTGCCGCTGGGAATAACCCAGCTCCAGAACTCCTCCGAAGTTAAATATTGACCAGAGCCTCTTTCCAAGGGCCGAGCTGCCTGGGGCGGCGAACTCCCGCCAGAGGCCCGGTGCGAAGCCCCGAGTGGGGTGGGCGCAGCGCTTACCTCGAGAGAGATTTCAGACTGGACCCCAAGTCGTCTCCAGCTCCAGGGCGCTCAGGGAATGGCCGCCTCCGGTGTCCCGGCGCTCTGCGGACGGACAGACAGACAGCACAGGGTGAGCGGCGGCCGCGGAGGAAGGGAGTCGGAGGACCGCAGTTGGAAGCGCGGCCGGTCCGGGCGCCAGGGTGGCCCCCGGGGTGACGCGGACACGGAGGAGTCGCCAGGGCATTCGTCCATGCGGCACACTCATTGCTTGAAAGGTTCCTGTCTGCAAATGGCCTGAAGATGGTGATTTATTTTTGTAAAATAAATACATACTCCATCTCCGCACCCACACTCTTCCTTTTCTTTCTTTACATGGGGGGTGGGCAGGGGGAAGGGGAAGAAAATGGACGAGGCGGAGCGAGACGGGAAGGTGGAAGGGGCTTTGCTGTGGGCGCCCGCTCTGCTCTGGGACTCCTCACGCACCTCCACTTGGGGAATGTGAAGGCCGCTTTATTTTCTTCTGCTAACAAAGGGGAGCCTTGTCTGCGAGCGCTCAATCACAGGCTCCCCGAAACCTCGCTAATAGTGTGCATTTCTGCTTGGCGCGAAATCAAACTCCAGCTCAGCCCACAGGCCCCGGGCTGACTGGAGAGGGTTTGTATTTTGGTTCATTCAAGCCCTGGGCGCGTCACTCCTCGGCCCCGTGGGCTGCGGGTCCCTCCCAGCAGGCCAGCCCCGGCTGCTGGAGACTGGGGAGACTGGGAAGCATGTGGGCTGGGACAATACCCAGTCCAGGGGCCCTATCCAGCCTCACCTTGCACAGTGGCCACAAGCTCCTAGATGCCCCAATTCTGCTGCCACCCTGTCTCCAAGGTCTCTGCAACTCTCTCTTGCTCTACAACTAGCAAATGGTCAGCCAACTTGAGGGGTTGGGGCAAGATGCCGGGGAGGAGGCGAGAATCCTCCTAGTCAATGAGCTCTAGCTTGGAGAACGGCTCAGCCGGGCTGGCTCTCTGCCAAGTGGGTTGCTTCCCCAGCCCTGTCCCTGCCCCACTACCCCTTCACCCAAACCCGCGTCGCCTCCCACACTACGGCCTGTCCCAAGCCAGCCCCCAGTGGCTGTCTGGCACCCATGCAATCCTGCTGATAGCACCAGGAGCAGCTACCAAATACCTGACAGGCCCCTGACCCCCACCCGGGCTCCCAGCCCCCTAGCGCCCCGAACAAGTGGCGGCACACCTGAAGCTGGTGGTCCTCAGCCGCCGCTGCCGCCCGACCGCAGCCCCCACCCTCCACCCTGCGCTGGGGCCGCAGAACCCATGCTGGCCCCTTTCTCTTGTTCAGACTCGCCCTCTGTGTCCCCAGAGGCGGCGCCCCGTGGCCTGGGAACTCCCGGCATGACCCCGAGTGAGGTGGGGCTCAGCCACCCTGCACGCTGCCACTCAGCTTCGTCCCAGAAAGAGCTGCGATGCCACCATCTGCCAAGCCACCCCCGCTCGGCGACGCTTAGGAGCATTGTAATTATTATGGTTATTATTATTGTTGCTATTTCCTTATCCCCAAGTCAAATATTCACGGCTGCGGTTCCCCATAAATCGTGCAGACTAATGAGTCACAAAGAGATGCTGCCCAGGTCTGCCCCTCGCCATGGCCGCCGCCGCGGCCTCTCAGTGCGGTGGGCGCTCGCTGGCTCCCTCGCCTGCCCGGCGGGCCGCGGTGATTTATGAACCCCGGGGACAGGGAACAAAGCCGCGCCGGCCTGCGGGATCTCCGCGGTCCTCCCCGGTGTGAATCGGAACATCACCGACTGTCTGCGCGCCCGCCCCACTTCATCACCAACGCCAGGCCGCGGCGGCAAGCCCGGCTCCAACTCACAGGTCCCCGGCCGGACGCGGGCTCCCCGGACTCGCAGGCACCCCGCAGGGAAGGCTCCCAGCCCCGCATGGGCCCGCCGGCGCGGTCTTCCCCGCCGAAGGCTCTCTCCGACCTTCCTGAAGGAGTTAAAAGCCTTGAGGAATAAATCTGACGGTGTGTGTTTTAAAAAATCAAATAGGAAGTTGGGGTGGGGGGTGTCTCACTTCTGACAGAGTCATTCCTAGTGAGGCCCTGCTGACTCCATCCATTCTTGATGATCGGCATTAATTATTTAATGAGTCACGTGACCCCCAGGATTACAATTTCCATGTCTCCCTCCAACAGGCCTTACACCTTTATCTGCTGCCACCAGGGCCCTTGGCTGGCTTTTTAGTTCCCAGGCCTCCAGAATGCAGACCCCCTTGCCCAGCTCCGGGGCAAGGGAAGCACCATGGAGACTCCAGGGCGAGCACAGCAGAATGAGTCCGCCTGGGACTGTGAGAATTGTAGACAGTGCCCTCCCAGGCACCTGACCCTGACATCTATCACTTCCTGGGCTCAGAGGCCAGCCCACCTGCCTCAGCACCCTTCCTTGTAGCTGGAAGGCGCACCTGTGGCCCTTCATGTCCAGTGCGAGCCCAGACTGGCTGGCCTTCTGCCGAGGAAAGAAGCCTGTGCACTCACCCCTATCCAAGGTGAGCCCAGATCTACAGCTCATTAGCATAAAGGAAATGGGAGGAGGAGCCGTGAGCTGCCTCAGTGTCCTCATCAGGAAACGGAGATGGGACCAAAATGGCCTCCAGGTCTCTTTTTCCTGAGATACTTTCAATCTGGGCTCTCTGCTAACTGCTGACAATCTGAGGCAGCTCACTGCTCCCCCCAGAAATCAATTCCAGAGAGACTGCGGCCGACCTGAGAGGGGCAGGGGTTACTCCATGGGTGTGGGGCCTTGAGAATAAGACTTGACAGAGTTCCAAGACAGAGATGTCAGATGAGACTATTTCACAACAGACCCGCAGCCTCCTCGGTGCTATCCGAGTCAGAACACTGGACTCTCCTCTTCCTCCTATTTTTCCAGTTCGTGCTCTTTGAGAGGAGAAGCAGCATTAGTTTTGGGTCCATAGACTGTACAGTCCAGAGAGGAGTGGCCGCTGGGGGAGCAGCGGTTGGGCAGGGTGAGCCTGTGCGCTCCAATGGAGGACCTCACCTGGGCTAGGGATGTGAGTGTCAAGAACAGCTTTTTGCTTGCTCGGAATCCACTCATTCCAAAGGGAAGCCCGGGTCTCTGTTTGCTACATGGACTGTTTGAGTTTCTTCTTTCTTTCCATTCTAAAGAATGGCTGACCTGTGTCCATGTTAAACTGCTGGAGGGAAGGCAGTGGTGGGTGAGCACAGCACAGTTTGCTAGCTTAGGGAAGCAGGGAGAGAGAGGTGGCTTGGTGACACCCACCCCAGGGGGGGTCTGAGGGGGGGCGATGTGGGCACCTGGTGACAGCTGAATATAAAGTCAGAGATGCTGTGCAGAGGGCCCGCTCCCCATATATCTAGGTAATCTCCCCAGGAGCTCCATCCTGGGTATTAAGTACTCCACTCTGCCTGTCACAGTTGAATTCCTGCTGTAATAAAACACCGGGTATATCGTAGATTTAAGCAAAACTAGGAAAGAGAGCCTGCAAAGTGCCATTTTTCTTCAGGGGGGAGACTCTTAAGTACTTAATTCAAACTGTGACCATTAAAGTGTCTCCTATCCGATTTAGGTTGATTTCAGATGTTGACAAAACTTTTATCTCTCCAGAGTCATGCACAGCGTGGCTATGTGACTAAAGCAGATGAGTGTGTGTTAGAGGGAAGGGGAGAAAAAGAGAGAAAGAAGAGGAGAGCATGTGTAAGGGTCATTTTGGTAGCAGCAGCATAGCACTCACACAAAATACTACTGTCTCTAAAGGTCAAGGGTTTGAGGAGCCAATAGAGTTTGCTTTAAAAAAAAAACAATTAATGAGATAGAAAATTTGTCCTCTGGGTGAACTCTTATGGTTGCCCTAGCAAAGGGCAGACAATGCACGATTTTGAAGCACAAAGTGGGGTTTTCTAAGCTGTTATAACAAGCTCCTTTAGAAGACCAAATCTGAAACAGGCAAAACACGAAAGAAATGGCACAATCATCTGGGTCATTTTGAAGCATTTTATCTTGGTAAAACTTACCAATACCTTAATAATCAGCACAGTTTGGGTAAAAATGCCATTTTGCACTGGAATCTAAAACACAAACACACACACACACACACACACACACACACACACACACACGGTCTCCATCCTTTCTCTTCATTACCCCTTTTAGCCCCATACAACTGCCTCTACAGCTCATTAATGCCCTCATCCCCCTCCTCCGCTACAAAGGAGAAATATAAGAATTTACCTTAATTGATGACAATCTGCCATGTGAGGTTTTGCAGCTCGACACTCAGTTTCCACCAAGAGTCTGGGCATGTTTTGAGCAGACAGGCAAGATGCTGCGTCTTTGCCCGAGACCACATTATTTGCAAGAAGATCCCTCGCTTCTCCACAGACTTTTCCCAGAGAATGCCTTTCAGAATTGCTGTTGAATTACAAAGAAGTATTTATTGTAGGAGGTGATTAATGGTTCCCGGGAAAATTGCTATTTTCAGCGTGGTTTAATTCCGTGTTACAAGTGCGTGGAGCAGAGGAAGGGTTAATGAATCTCAGCAGCAGTTGCAGGGGCTCCAGAGATCCCTGGCACTCGCTCACACCCTATAAAATGCCCTTTATGCCAGGTCTGGCCTCGCTTGGAAGGCAGGCACTTGCTTGCCCCTGGGCTTTCTTGGGGAGAGGTGGAGGCCCCTCTAAGGCTGGGACCCATGGCCTCCCTCTCGGATCCGGTTTGTTCAGAGGTAGACAGCAGTTCGCCTCTGCCTGGGTTACACACAGGCAGGAGAGGAACAGCACTGACCACTGGTGAAGGGCTCACCACTGATGGGAAAATGTGTATAAAAACCTCTGTTATTGCAGAGGTGGGCGAGCACCCCTCCCAGCTCTGCGGAAATTATTACAGGAGCTGAACATCACCCTCACTCAAGGCCAGGCGACAATCCTAATGTCCTGGGCCAGTGTGTGTTGGCTTATCTGTGTCTTGTCCCTTCAGTGACAACCAGGTCCAGATTCTCTGGGCTGATTAGTAAATCAGTAAACAAATCCTAGGGTTGTGGAGGTTGTGAGGTAGATTTTATGTTCAGCCTTTTAAATCTAGATCTCTAGGTTGGGCAGAAAAATCTGGGAGCATTTGAGGAAAGTGACCCTCGTTCAGAGTTTGGCTGTCTTCCAGGTTTGAATACTCCCAGGTCTACCTTGCTTTGGGGTACAATTTGGGGTGTCCTTCAGCCTTGTATTTCCTCAGAAGAAACTCTGGAGGGTGTACGGGGAAAATCCAGTTTACTTTAACATTTCTTGCCTCGAAAAAGGAAGAATTAAACAAATAAAAATTCCCAAGCTATAGTTACTGAAAAGAGCCTTCAAAACAGCAAGGAAACAAAAAGCAATCTCAACCCTTTACACAAACTATTTTTTATCTCCAGGGAAACAGGCAGATTAAGTGTGAAGGTGCCATAAATACCAGAGGGACCACTTCTTTCCAAGTGTGCTCAGAGTTCAGCGAGTCAGAGCAGCTGCAGAGAGTCCTGGGCCCGCAGCGCTGCACGGTTTCACCTTTCATCACACAGAAGGACACGTTTCTCTGCCTTACGGAGACTTGAAGCCTGACAGCCTGGCCAAGTTTGGGAAGAAGAGGAGCCCTCTCAGAGCTCAAGAGCCTTCATGCTCTTTGGAACTTTTCCCACCGCGGGTCAGACTTGACAAGAGTTCAGCTCGAGTTGAACACACTCACACACATTATATGCGCAGTCAGAATCCGGGAGAACACAACTCAAGTCATCTACAAGGTTTTCTCATGGGCAAGGTCAAGCACGTCAATCCAGAGCACTTTAAAAAAAATTAAAAGTAGGAAGCACACAGACGTGTTTTAGAACTTTAATGTTTTTTGAAACAGAGTTTATTCTTAGCAAGGCTTTCTATAGAGCCACACCACGGTTTGTATAGTTGCACATGGGTCTAAATACACTCCCCTCTCCCCAAAGATGTGCCTCGGAACAAGACAACAACACCTCTACAACAATATTTTAAATAAGTGCAAGGGAGGGGAACTATGGTGACATGGCTACCATTGAGGTCTATACATTTTGAGAATTAAATAATCCTGTGAGGTCCACAATGTCTACTCATGTATTCAGTTCAAGACAAGCTTGTATGAGCTGCCTGAATGAGGGAGGGGAGACAAGGAAAGGGTAGGAAAGGGTCTGTTTTCTTCTGTTTGCAGCAAATATACACACACAGGTCCTCCGGCCATCTCAAAAGTGTGTGGGGCCAAGTGGTCCTTCTCAGGTGCCCAGCCCTGGCAGCCTTCCTTCTTAGGCCAGCAGGCTGTGCCACCAGCCAGCATCCTGGCCACTGTCCTCTCTTGGGTGGCAACCAGCACACACTCTTACCAGGATAATGTCCTCTTTCTTTTATTACACTTTTCATCTAGTTGGGTTTTGTTTTGGGGTCTGTTGTGGTCCCAACGGGGAGGGGTGGGTGGAGAAAGGGGCAGAAGAGAGGAGAAGAGCAGATGAGGGAAAGAACCTGGTCTAGATCTCTAGAAGATCATATGGAGGAGGGAATGGGTGTGGAGGCCCCCTGGTGGGGGTGGGGGTGGGGGTGCGGGTTTGGGTGGGGGCTCTGAGTCTGTGCTTTGCCTGGCGGGCCTGCGGAGGAGGCGGAGGTCGAGTTGGAGGAGCGCATCTTAGTGTTGGGCAGTTTGTGATCTTTCTTCCACTTCATCCTCCGGTTCTGAAACCAGATCTTGACCTGCCGCTCGGACAGGCAGAGCGTGTGGGCGATCTCGATGCGGCGCCGCCGGGTCAGGTAGCGGTTAAAGTGGAACTCCTTCTCCAGCTCCAAGACCTGCTGCCGGGTGTAGGCGGTCCGAGAGCGCTTGGGCTCCCCTCCGTTATAACTGGGGTTGACTGAGAGCCCATCACCCCGAGGAGAAAGCCGAGGCGGAGGGAGCGGACAGAGAGGGGGAAGGAGGAGGAGAGATAAGGTGGGGTGGGGAAGAGCAATGGGACATCATCATTATATAATAACCTGACACCAAGTTCACGCAAGACACATAAAACGGCAAAGAAAATGTTTCACAGGCTATTGACAACGGGAAACACCCGAGAGCCATAAAGCGCGGAGCTGGGCCTTGGGGCTGAAGAAAAGCTTCAAAGACACATGGCCTGAAGCCTCTGCCAGGGCAATTAAATTTATGGGGGCTATAATGACTGCCCTAACAGTTTGGCGTCTCGTAAATCTCCCGATAAAGGGACCCCGGGTACAAAAGGGTTCTCACATTGGGATCCGGCTGGCTGGTGCGCACACACCCACACCCCACTGTCGCCGGGGCCACCTGGGGGCTCCCCTCCCAGGCCCCATCCCCGGGCCCTCGCCTTCTGACCCCCCTGGCCCCCTAGACCCTCGCCCTCCGGCCGGCCGGGGCCGCAGCCCGCCCTCCGCGCCCCCCTCCCCGGCGGCGCCACGTACCGGCGCTGACATGGATCTTCTTCATCCAGGGGTACACCACGGGCTCCTTGCCCTTCGGGCCCGGCGCGCCCTTGTCGGCCAGGAGCAGCGGGCACGCGGGGGCGCTGCCGCCCGCCGGGGCGCCCGGGGTGGCGGGGGCCGCCTCGCAGCGCCGCGGGGGCGCCGGGGGCGCGGGGCGAGGCTGCGGGGGCGGCGGGGGCTGCCGCCCGGGGGCCGGCAGGCCGGGGCCCGCGTGCAGGCCATGCGCGGGGCCCTTGGCGAGCGCGGGGGGCTGCTCGGGCGGCGGGGGCCGCGCGGGGCCGGCGCCGGCGCCGTAGCCATAGGGGAAGGCGGCGTCGGCGGCCCCGGGCGCGGGGTAGAGCGCGGCCGCGGGGAAGGCGGGCTCGCGGGCGGCCCGCGGCGCGTAGTAGGCGGCGGCGGCGGGGGGCTGGCGGGGCGGCGGCGGCGGCGGCAGGTGCTGGGCCGCGGGCGCGGGGGGCTGCGGGTAGCCCGAGCCCCCGCCCGGGCCGCCGTCCCCGCCGCCCGGGCCGCTGTGCTGCGCGTACTCCTCGAAGGGAGGGAACTTGGGCTCGATGTAGTTGGAGTTTATCAAAAACGAGCTCATGGTCATTAATTTGTGAAGTGCAAAAATACTAATTTTTCTCGCGTTGTCGTTTTTCTGGGCTCGCCGAGGCCCCTCCCCCTCCCGCCGCGCTCCCTTCCCCCCCCCCACCCCCGCTCCGTCCCCTCCCCCGCTGTCAGCGCCCGCCCCTCCCCCGCCGCCGCCGCCAATGCCACCGAAGTTCGCGCCGCCCCGCCCCCGCCCGCGCCCGCGCGCCCCCCACGTGACCCGCGCCCGCCAATGGGAGCGCGGCGCGCGCGGACCCGGATCAGGAAGCGCGCGGGAGGTGATGGATGCGGCGGTCGGGTCCCCGGCGGAGGGAGGGAGCTGGCGCTTTGGTTTCCCCTCCCCCTCCCCGACCCCCCAACTCTGAGACCCGCTGGGAATTGGGGGGCCCTCGAAGGCCTCCATTCCCGGCGCACGCCCCGGCCGTGCCCTGGGAGCGCCCCAGTCCTGGCCTAGGCCTCGCGGAGCAGCCAGGCGCCCGCGGCCCAGCGCTGACCTCGGGGGGGCCCCGCCTCGCCCGGCCCGGCGTCCTCCCGGGTTCGAGGCCGGCTAAGGGAGGGAATGGGTTGGGATCGAGGAAATCATGCTCGTTTGAATCCTGCCCCCGGAATAAAACGAATGAGGTCGATAGACCTATTTTCTCCCCCAGCTGATCCCCTTGGCCACCCGCTCGCCGCGCCCGCGTCGGGGTCCCCGCTCCGGGGAGCCCGGCAGGAGCCGCGAGAGCCTGCGGCTGAGCAGCCGGGAGAAACCGGCCTGAAAATGCACAGCTAGGCCCTCCCGGCACAACCGGACGGGCGCTTCTCCTGCTGTCTTTCTTTTAGAGACAAAATCTGATGGCGGGAGGGGAAGTCCTAAGAAAACCCAGAACCTCCTAATAGCATCTCGTTTGATGGAGGTGTTGATGTGAGAGTTAAACACTCGCGTTTTCCGGGCGCGATTGGGAGGGAGGAGGTGGTCCAAGGATGGGGGATGGATGGATGAAAACTGAGCTTTGCAACCAACAGCGTCCTATCTCAGAACAATTCCCAAGCAGAAACGAGCGACGGAGAGAGTGAGTGCTCTTTGCTCAGTCTGATTGCCAACGAGGCTCTTCCCCGCTGAGAAGATTGTGTTTTGTATTTTGGATGCTGCTTTCCCAGGCTGAATCTCAGGGTAAAGTTCTGTTTGCAGGACAGCCTGTAATTTCTTCATTGCTGGGAATTAGCATATTAACGATAATCGTAGCTCTGGAAAGGGGGGGAGAGAGGACTGTTGCCTGCCATTTTGGTAATTGAAATTTGATGGGTAAACTAATTACACCATTATTAACAAATAAATTACTTATTAATCCCACCTAATGTTGATCTTTGAATTAAATACTGAAGCCTTTACTCCTGCTGTGTACTTTTCCTTTCCTTTTCTGGGTAACGAACACACCTACATCCTCTACTTTCCAGCCTAGACTCAAGCACTACAAGCTAGAATAGCCACTCATGCTATTCAAACATGCTTTCATATTGGCATGGAACAGCCAGGATTTTTTTTTTCAGCTGGTACATCTTACTTGATTTTTCAAAGAGCAGTATAAACAGCCTTCTCACCACTGAGTCTGGAAGGCAGACAAGGAAAGCTATAGCTTAAGCCTGGAGACACTTCAAAAGGAATGTCAATTCTATCTTCATTTATATCGGTTACTCATATGAGTTACTAAATGCTGGAATATCCATTTGATGGATAGTCATTTAATGCTTAGCCACATAAAGCCTATTATATGGGACTAATCTTTAAACTAATTTAGGAAGAGAGGTTTAAAGGGGGATCATGTTAGCTTTTTTAACTGGAATCACCCTGAAGTGGTACAAAGAGGTTTTCCACATTGGCTGTGTGTCTGTGAAGAGTGCTGTCCATCCACTTGGAGCACCCTGACTTTTTTTTTTTTTTTTAATGAAATCTGAGCCACAGACAGAAATCAATGCGGAAGGTAATCTTTAGATGTTCTCTCTAGATTCCCTGGAAATCTAGCCTGTGCTATAGCTGCCTAAACCAATATCTCTCTACAGTAAGAAATACACACACACACACACATACTGACTATATAACCTGAATAATATATACATAATATAATTTTCAAAATTGGGCTCTCTTAAGCTTGCAGGAGGGAGGGAACATGACAATGAAATTTTGCCGTCATTCTCGTGGCATCAGCCTTGAATACTAGGGTCTTAACCATGTTTGTTTAATGTTATTTACAGACACTAAGACACAAAATTCATGTTGTTTAGCCTCAGAACCTTCCACCGGGTTTCTATTTTAAAGTATTAACAAGGCATGGGCACTGTTTTGTATATGGTTAACCTAAACGAGTTAACTGCGCCTGTGTTCCTGTGGTTATATTACTTTAGGAAGATGGGCTTACACAGAATCCCCCAAGGCCTGTAACTTGTCTTTGTGGTTCCTATCATAAACACAAACGGGGCCAGGACCACCAAGTGTTATCTCACACACGGACATTTTGACATTTTACTGCAAGATTTATGGCTGTAATAAACAATCTCAGTACCTTTTCTGATCCTTCCACAGTCTCTCTGTGCAAGCCACAGCATCATTCCACTGAATCAAATAATCTTTTGGAAAACATTTTAAAAAAACAACAACAACAACACTTCTTGCCTTTATGTAAAATCCGAGACACCAAAATAAAGCCAGAAAGAAACTAACTCGATTAATACATAAACCAAAGTTGACCAGCAGCATCTCGCCGAGAAAAAGATGGGGTGCTCTGAAATGGAGCAGAGAAGGCGGGCTAACCTTCGCACACCAACTGGCTCCCGTTCCAAGTGGGAGCCTCATCCTTTCCTTGGTAAGCACGTTTGCTCATTTCCACATGCAGGGATCACATATATCCCCAACAAAGGCTTTCTTAAAATCCCATTAAATGAAACAACTTTTCATCATGTTCTCGAATCCCAGATGGAGAAGGAGAGCAAAGGGAGTCCAAGGGAGCGGGAGGGCGAGAGGAAGGCAGGCTTTGCAGCCTCGTTTGAATCTGATTTGAATCATTTTGAATATCTTTGGAATGGCCTGCCCTCTTGAATGCGACCCTGCCCCGAGATTCAAAGTGACCGAACAGTGACACCGTGTGCATTTTGTTTCTTATTAATCTTACACATTGACAGTCTTTGTTAAGTCACAAGGCGCGCCCTTCACCAGCCGACATTTTCATATTTGTTAGACGCGCTGACCTGAAGTTCACCTCGGCCTTGGACTTTGCGCTTCTAAAAGGTCTATACAGTGTCTTTTAGAGGGCAGGGTTTCTGCCCAGGTCACTCCTTCTCAGGGAAAACCGAAGGGGGGAGGGAGGAGAGCAAAGGAAATGTAAACGTTATGGAATGTATTGACTGTATTTGTCCTTTGTTCTTTAGAATGAGAGTCCCCCAGACTGACTGCTAATCTCTGGAATGGCTGGATTTCAGAGTGCCTGATGGTGGCATTTGCGGGCTCTCTCCTACCTACATGAGGCACATGATTTTAGAGAAGCAATACTTTATCACCCATTTGAACCATTAATTGTTTGGGGGCAATTTCCTTGCAGTAGTTTATAGCAATGAGCATGACCCAGGCATAAAGATTGAAATGTATACTTGCATTAAATATAAATTTTCTCCAGGAGTGTGTAAGAGGCCTAAACCATCAAAATCCTCCAAGTAAAAACGTATGCACTCTTAAAAGCAATAACTTCTTCGGGTACCTTTTACTTTCAAAACTGACTAAGGGGTGTCTGTGCTTATTGAATCTGACATGTTTCTAAGGCGTGGGACCTTCTTAACCAATAATACAATAACAAGCTTCTCTCAGAGGGACACATAATTGTCTTGGTGAGTAATAGCGGGGGTTTCAGTTTCCCCCGTTTTGCTAGCCCAGATGTGGTGAAGTGTTCACTGCTGTAACAGCAATCACCACAGTTGTTCCCTTTCTTGTTTTCATCTGGCACACCCCCATTTGGCTTCCAGCTCTTGGCCAGAGCGAAAACTTTACACATCCAATAGCGGAAGCAATCTGATTACTTCCACCGCGGCACTGTTTGGGAAATATTTACCACTGAATGTCCCTGGCACCAGCAAATCCAATCAACAAGGATATATTGGGGTGATCTTGCACATGCCTAACAAGAGTCTACATTCTGAGTAGTTGGATTAACATCTTTATAGTTAAAAAAGAAAAACCCAGAAAAAAAAATTTCATTTTTCTCTTCTCTGCTTCCCTTCAATGATTACTTAAAGATGGATACCTGGAAAAGGAAAACACGTCCCCCAGAAAACATTCTATGGCACCGTCACTTCCAGCTAATATGGGTGCATGAGAAATAAAATAGTGTTCAGCGCTCCAGACGCAACTCACACAGGAGGCCTGGTTCCAGTTGGCTTCCTTAACACACTGTTCCCTTTCTTTCCCTCTCTCCCACCCTTCCTCCTTCCTCGGTCTCCTCTCCTTCGCCTTTATTCCAAATGTGTTTTTAAAGAGTATTTTCTGGAGAACAGAAGTCTGTCATGGTGCTCTGACATTTCTGGATTCCACCTTCCTGCTCAAATGGCATATTCTTTACAGTCTGGCTATTCACTTACAGATTGTAGCATTTCTCTTACTTTCAATGTAGGGTTAACAACTACCGTAATGAAAAATTTCCCACAACAGGAACATTTTCAGGGCACCAATGAGCATTTTCTCACTGGGGGAGGGGGGGAAGAATCCTGTCCCTTCGGGGGAGGGTTTCCGCTTCCTCCCTCCCCTTCCCAGCTCTAAGAACTCTTGGCGTTCAGTGGGTGGCAATTTCAGAAAAAGCGTTCTGTGTTTGAAAATTGCCAAGAATACATTTGGTAAGAAACGCCTGTTTGCCCTTCTCAATTTAGGGATCATTATGGGCACTAAAAAGAGAGAAATGGCGAATCAAAATCACCGTTTTCAAATAAAGGAAGTGTCCTGCCGGTTCTCTTGCCTTTGAAAGGTACCACGGAGCATTGAAAACTTGCTACGTTATTTCTTAAAGGTCCACTGATGACTTCTGAGCTTTTTTATTTTTGGGCCACACCCCAAGACTCCTGCTTCACCGGCAATCT